ATAATAATAATAATAATAATAATAAAGTAATAATAGTAATGATAATAATAATAACACATATTTATTATTTGTTGATTAACTTTTGAACCGACAAACTAATTTTCTAAAATTTCCAGAATACATTTGTACTTTACAGTTGAGCAACTTATTTAATCATTTTCAACTTTGAATCAGTTTTTATTATTATTATTATTATTATTTACTTTTTTTTTTTTTTGATGCAATCCAATAATTACACAATACTCGACAACTACCCATTTCTCTCTTACACGATCTTGTCCTGTTGTTCATCTCCGCCAACAAATCAACCAACCATATCGGTACAAACGTCCGGAAACCTGTTAGGCATCTCGTTCAACATCATGTTTCAACAAAACAAATCGCTGTTGCGTTATTTTCATTTTTTTTTCCTCTTGCTATTAAATATTATCAACTTCCATTTGTCACTTAGTACATTGCAGAAAGTTTCATACATTCTTAACAATGATTATTAAATGTATGATTACAGCATTAATTTATTTTTTTAAACAAATTTTTAAATTCTCCTAACTTTCAATTAACAGTTTAACATTTTTCTAATTAATTATTAATTTAAAATAATAATTATCAGTAAAATTTAGAAATTTGCTCAAAAAACCAAATTAATATTGTGATTATACATTTAGCGATCATTGTTTAAAAAAATGCATGGAAGTGATAATTTTATGAAAATTTTATTAACAATAATTTTGCATGTAATAATAGTAATAATAACAATACTATTATTATTATCTTAATTAAATTTATTATGTGCTTAATGACTTTTGTAAACTGTTTTCCTTATTAATTACATATTGCTTGATTTTTAATCTTACAATTTGATGATGTCGTTTTACATCATTTTGTATTTTTGCAGTCATAATTTTTTTAATTTCAGGTTTATTTCAAAAAACAAAAAAACTTTCATCATTAGAAAATTGGTTTTTATTATTATACATTTGTTATTGCTGCTACTACTTTATCAGTGACAATATTTTCACTTTCTACTATTTTTCTATCAATATTACCGTCACCATCATCATCATTAATTGCTATCATTTTCATTTGTTGATAGCATTTAACAACATTGATTAATAACAATATTAACAACAACAACAACAACAACAACAACAACAACAACAACAACAACAACAACAACAATAACAACAACAACAAATAATAACAACAATAACGATTGTTACGACAACGATAGTGACGACGATTGGTGACAATTATTGAACTAAATACAAATATATAGTTCATTCAGCCAGCTGCTGCAATATTCCCCGAATATCTCCCGTCATCTTTTCGATATTACCTCATCATCATTATCATCATCATCATCATCATCATCATCATCATCATCATCATCAACATCATCATCATCATCATCATTAAACGGCAACAACAACTTCAGCAATTCGCGGATGGCATTCAATCCGGCGGCAGCAGCAGCTGCATTCAATGCTCAGGTGTGTCAACAATAATATATACCTATCATCAATCTAAACCATTTAAAGCTATCCCAATTCCGTTCCGTTCAGTGTATAAATTTCGTCCCGAAAGAACTCTTTTTTTTTTTTGTTCAGGAATAACCAGATAAATATCGTATAGCAGGTTCAGTTTAGTTAGTTTGATCGTACACATTCTCTCTCTCTCTTGCAATAACACTAAATTGCTTCAATTAAAATTAATTAATTTTAAAATTTTTCAATATAAAGTAGTAACGGATGAAAAAAAAAAGAGAAGATTGTGAGAAATTCAAAATTAAAATATTTGTATGCATATATATGTATATATATTTCGAAATTTTCTCCTACATTTTATTTAATTCATTTATTGAATTTTTTTTTTGCTTAATTCATTCCTGTTATTCATTTATTATTTCAATTAAATAAATTACATTGATTAATTTTTTTCGAAAACCTGAAATGATCAATTTTAAAAACCTGAAATGCTGAATATTTTACGAGTACGAGTTGATCTTTTTTTTCCCCTTCCTCTTCTCCTGCATATATTTTGATTGTTTGTTTTGTTTTTGCTTATTTATAATAATAAAGAAATAGAAAGAATGAAAAGAAATAGGAAGAAAGGTTAAAGGTTAAAAGCACTTAGAAAATCCAAGAATTGCTTTTATCATTGAAATTATTCGCCACATAATTTGTAGTGTTAAAGCATATATATAAATTGGTAAAATCAAATTATTTGGAAATTAAAATTTAAAATATTTAAAGAATTCCTTTTTCTTTTTTAAATTATAATTTTAAATTTACTACAGTTGCTGGCTGCCTCACAACCATCAACACCAGTTAAAAAGGAACCACCACCTTCAGCATTGGTTGGTAATGTTCCAGTTGCAACCTCAATAAACAGTAATAATACTGATGAAGTTGGTGGTGGCGGTGATACGACAAGATTTTTGAATGCGAGTGGACCATTGTTAACACCCGGTGGTTTAGCAGGTTTTCCACATCCAATGGAACATGAAGCTGCATTCAGGGCAGCTATGGTTCAGGGTGCACTACCGTTTCCGGCCATTTATCCCGGTTTACATCCGGCGGTAAGTTTAACATCAATTACTCCTCCTTTGCAACACAAGTAATGATTATTTTCCATCAAACTTGCAAATACAATTTAGAAATTGCTTTATGAAACTATCAAATACATATCTTACATTCTTCTCTTCTCTCTCTCTCTCTCTCTCTGTTCCTCCCTCTCTCTTTGTTTGGTGAATAAATTATATTGCTTCAGTTTAAAGAATTTTACAGTTCTATTTTAAATAATTTCCATTTTTCTTTCCTGTTTTCATTTTATTTTTTCAACTTTTAAATTTAGCAAAAACTTTGACAATATGTAAAATTAATAATTTTAAAAGAATAAATGACGAATTAAATGATTTAATTTAATACAAATATTATCCCGAAATGACTTTTTTTTCTCTCTTTCTCTTTGTTTTTTTTTTCTCCTGTTAAATCTTTTCTTCTTGTTTAATTGATAACTTGTTGGAAGAACAATGTTTTTTTCTTGTATGTTTCAGTTAATTGTCCTTTAAAATACCGAAGAAAAACTTTTTTGCTTATCTGTTAATCATTGTTCAAATGTTGAACTAATGATAATGTCAATACTCTTCTAATGAATGATGTCGCACCATACCACCCCAATCATCACTACACCCATCACCACTACTATATCATCAGCACCAATCATTATCATCATTATCACTACTACTACTATTACTGCTGCTGCCACTACTACTACTACTACTACTGCTACTACTACCACTACAACAACAACAACTACTACTACTACTGCTACTACTACTACCACTCCATATACGAAATTGTTACTGATGTGTAAGTAATATTAGCGCATCTTGCAAAATTACTTCTAACTTCTCAAAACATTCTTGTTTTCCTCAAAATTTTTGTTTATTTGTTTTTTTTCGAATTGTAAGTTGTAAATTAAATTTTAACGTAAATTAGCAAATATCGACTTTAATGATTCGTTTCGATTTTTTGTTTTTTTTTTTTTTTTTTGGTAAATGTGTATTTGAAATATTATTTTAAGCGGGAAAATTTGACTTTTAAATTTATTTTATTTGCTTCCTGATTTTGAAAATTCTTTCCTTTTTTTTAAATTTTTTTTTAAATCGAACATTGTCTTAAAAAGGAAATTTCAGAAATCATTTTTGAGGCTATACTGCGAAAATTTATAGAAATCTAAAAAGCTTAACTAGCATAAGATTGTATTTAGAATTTGTTAATTTTGGTGTACAATCAATTATATCATGAAACAAAAGGAAAACATTTAAATATTGAAAAGTTTAATGTCATCATATCCTTCTATCAATTATATTTCGTCATTTGTCAACTGTCGATACAGTAATTAGGATATTACCAACAAAAAGAAAAAGAAACACTAATTACTAAGCCAGTTCTTTGATTCTTGTATCATTTAATTGAAAACATTAGGTTCTAAAAAAAAAAATGGTAATGGCAAAGATTTCAAAATTCAAATGATAGTTGATTTGAAATTTAATAATTTTTTCCTTATTTATGTTTTCTTTAATTACTTGCAATTAATATCAATAGTAATAAATAATATATGTAGCAAACAAATTTCAGAATAGGAAACCATTCCAATTGCTTATTGATCATGCTGATCAATAAGGTTAATAGAGTTGATCAAGTTGATCATGTTGGTCAATAAAGTTGATCAAGTTGATCATGTTGGTCAATAGAGTTGATCAAGTTGGTCATGTTGGTCAATAAAGTTGGTCAAGTTGATCATGTTGATCATGCTGGTCAATAAAGTTGATCATGCTGATCAATAAAATTGATCAATCCAGTGTGTACCAAATTGATTCAATCCGTTAATGGAATCAGGAATTAATCATCATGCATTATGAAAAGAGCATGAAACAAGTAAAAGAACATGATGATTTGTTGTAATGATGATTTTTCAAAAAAAGAAAAAAGAATGAAAAAGACGAAAAGTCTTCTTTTTGTCCTCTTTCGATACAACAATTTTTTTTCTCTTTCTCTTTCCCTCTCTCTCTCTCTCCTTCCCTTTACTCAACTTATTACGTCAAAGTAATGTCAAATCATTCTTCATTATCTA